GGGAGCTGTTGCATTGTGGTAAACTGTGGTCAATGACATGAGACAAAGTATATGTGAACTGCTGTATGGAAAGTGAATTTGCTCTGTAAATCTTTACCCAAATCACAATAAAAAAAAAGTATTGCCAATATTAAATTTGCTCAAGTTAGTAACCATACAGTGGTCATGTCTTATTTTTAGGAAAAACATTTAATTGTCTATTATTAGCAGCTTACTCTCAAATGATTCAACAAAGTATTATGTATGTACATTATATGGAAATAGAGCAGATAGAACAAATGGGGCAAACACTTATTAAGTATATCCAACTAAAAATTTACAGTTTTATTTGTACTATTCTTGAATTTTTTTTCTGTAAGTTTGGAAATTTTCAAATAAAAGGTTTAAAAAAAAATCATTGTCTATGGACTTTGGATCCATACTCATGTAAGTGTCTTTCTGTAATGTTTAACATATTGCTGTATGAAATAAATTCTTGTGCCTTTTAAAAAAATGCTTATACTTAAAAACATAAATAAAAAATAGTCATTTTTCAAAGTTTGCTTTGGAAAATTTTATGTTAACTCACATTTTTGTTTATTTGTTTAGGTAATGCAAATGGCATGAAGAGGAAAGAATGGGAAAACAAGCCAGTGGGAATAGAAGTAGAGAAAAAAAATCAACACCTTAGTCTTCAAGTGCCGTTACGATCTCATAGTTCATCCTCTTCTTCAGAAGAGAATAGCAGTTCCAGTGCTGCACAGCCTTTATTGGCAGGTGAAAAGGAAAGTCCTTCTTCTGTTACTGATGACCATATGATTCAAAAAGAGTTCTTACATGGTACGAAAAGAGATGATGGCCAAGTAAGGTTAGTACTCAATTAGGTTTAGAAAACTGATTGAAACAAGATTGTAGTTGTTTACACCTGTGGCAAGAAACACTTCTTTCTCTGCCATTCTCCCACTTTATAAATCTTTCTCTTCATCTACTCCCATATTTTTAAATATCAATTTGCTGTTGCTTTTCTGATTATAAAGGTGTTCTCATTTCAGATATTAGGAATGTATAGAAAAGTGCAGAGAAAGAAAATAAATTTTTCTTGTCATCCTACCACTCAGTGATTGATTGGTAATGTTTTCATATTATCCTTTCAATGTAATAGATACTTTCTGGTCCTTCTTTTTATCCCTTAATAGTTGTCTACCCTCTTTCTTGAAACACACTTTCCTCTTATGTTAATAGTACGTTTCCAGTTTTTACTCCACCTGCTTCGCTATTCCTCCTTAGTCTCCATTGCCATAGCCTCCATTTTCTCTTTCCTTTCTTCTTTCTATTCTCCTTATAGCCAGCTGTTAGTTAAATGTTATCCTTCAAAACTTTTCTGTACCCCCTTTCTCCATTTATTCTATGCTATACTCTTTTCCCTAGATAGCCTTAATGACTGTCTGGCTTCAATTGTGGTCTGTAGCCAACATCTTTTAAATGCAAAGTCCAGCCAAGAACTTTGTTCCCATTAACTCAGCTTCCTACTTGATATTTCCACTTCATAATTTGTGGACATCTCAAAGACAACACATAAAAAATGACTTTATGCTTGTCATTCTCAACTTGTACGGCCTCAGGCTACTGCATTTCAGCCAAAATCAGAAATATTGCAAGTATCTGTAACTTCTTCCTCTTTTTCTATCCCTCTCATTTATTCAAAGGCCCCTGGTGTATTTTATTGGAGAAACTTTTTTTTTTTTTTTTTAGG